AATAGCTGGATTTTAGTAACGAAGTCACATGAATTGCAGGAATAAAGATTTTCTTCGGAAAGCAATAAACTCCAAAAGATGAGGATTTATTTCACACCTCCAAATGTTACTACCCAGCACGTACCTCCTGCCTGATACAACAGCCCTCCTTGTCTCTCAGACTTGCCGGGTACCCCAGGGGCAGGTAGAACGGTCCGTCCCACACCCCATAGAGACGGCCTTGCAGGGAGACAGAAGGACATTATTTCTCGTCCATCAAGGATGCTCTTCAAAGTTCTCCTCATACAGATGATGAGGGATACAGTGAAGATTTTAATCAGCTGTGCTAACTTTAAAAATCATTTAAAAATTTTACCGTTTTTTTTCCTAAAATACCAGGCCTTGCCTTTTGCATATTTGATGACACTTGAATTAAACTAAGCATAAAGGAGACTCCAAAGATCACTGTACTCCTATGTCTCACAGTTTGTTTTTTAATGGTGAAATCTCTGTAGAAGCTGGCACCCACGAAGCCAGTGGCCCGAAGGGCAGCTGAGTCTGGAGACGGACTGCAGGCTGGGACCAGGCACCCGGTCCTGGGGCAACCTCTCTGCCGTTGCCTGCGACCCAAAGCAGAGACGTTTCCTGAACCCCCGCTTCCCCTTCCCCAGCCTCTGCAAGGGGATGAGAACAGAAAGAAAGACTTCTTAGGGTCTTTCCCAGCTCTGACTTCCCTTGTCTTCATGAGTTTCCTCTTCGTGCCTCCTCCATAAACCAACAAGGAGGAAAATAGTGCGCGATGACGTCACTTATTCAAAAAGCAAAAAACAGAGAAAGCCACGAGCTGCTTGGGCTGGTTGATCCCCTGACGCATAGATTCTGACTTACAGCTGGTTGCGACCTCCTTGCTTAGCCAGCATTTTTATTAGTGGGCAAACATCCAGAATGAAACAAAAACATGGTTATGCCTTTTTCCCAAATTACATCCTGCACTTGGCCTAATGTCAGTGTCTACAGTCAAAGAGGGGTCCTCCCAATGTGAGCGGGTTTCTCTGCCTCAGGATTGCGGTCGGTCTCCCGCAGCAGAGGCGAGGGGGCAGGGACACTGGTCTTCCCTTCACACACAGGAGTCAGGGACACCTTGAAAGGAAGAGGGAGAGAAAGGCCCCAGGATCTAAAAACAGAGATGGGTGAGATTGATTGTCCCCTGTGGCTTGTCATTGTCTAAAGGATGCTATGAGGGTGTAAAGAAGAAAAGTGAAAATATTGAGGACAGAGAAATTAATGTGGATGAGAGACGTTAAACTGTGCAGCCGCACATCGTAAAGTCCTCCGAGGATGTGGCTTTGGAGAGCCACCCTCACTGAGCGGGGGTGGGGGGTGCCTGGGAGGCAGAAGGGGTGATGTGTTTGAGCTTCGGTCCCATGCACCCTCATGAGATGCTGCAGGGGACCTGCCTGAGATGTTGGGGTGGTGATTCCTCACCACGGGGAGAGCTTCCGTCTTGACACACTGGTGTGGAGAAGCAAGGGGCAAACCCCGCCGGGGACATCAGTGCTTCTCCTCCCTGAGTGCCTGCAAATCAAAAGGGATGTTTTTGCTCGTGGGTGTGTGGTGTTGCACGTACAAGGGGCACAGTATCCTGTGGTGGGGTCTGACGCCCGGACGTAGACTATTTCTCTCCTGGCTGTTGTGATTCAAAGAGTCCTGTCATTTAAAAATACATAAATAAAATAGATAAACAACAAGGTTCTACTGTACAGCACAGGGAACTATATTCAATATCTTGGAATAATCTATAATGAAAAAGAATATGAAAAAGAATATATATATGTAACTGAATCATGATGCTGTACACCAGAAACTAACACAGTATTGTAAATCAACTGTACTTTAATTTAAATTTTTTTTAAAAATAAAGAATCCCACCATTATGTGACATTGTTACTTTGTTACGTTGTTGCGTTGTTACGTTGTGCGCAGCTGGAAGCTTCTGACTCTGAAACAGAGAGTCGGCGGGAGCGTAGGAGGAGGGCATTTTCAGAGGGGGACCCACGCCCTCTACGGAAAGCCTGATGCAGGCTCCCCAGAGGCCCCGGCAGGGGCAGAACCATCCCTGTTGGGGCAGCGGCCAACCACCGCGGTCACTCTCCTCCACCTGAGGGCTTCCCTGGCTCCACGCTCTGGGGAGTCTGAGCCTTTCACTGCCCCTGCCGTCCGCCCCTCGCGTACCGGCCGCCCCGGGGCAGGGCAGTGAACGGGGCATTGCTGCACAGCTGTGTCCAACGGCCAGTCTTTTAGGAGATGCTGGGCATTTCCAGCAGCGCCCAGCAGCCTGGAAGCGGGTGCAGGGCTGGGGTTCCGCCCGGCAGGCATGGGAGAGACGGAACGGTGGTGACTGCAGGGCTGAGGGTGGGGTCCAGGAACGATGCTGCTCTGCTGAAAACAAGGGCAGGTGGCCCCATCTGTGCTCCCAGCTCTGCACTGGGAGTGGCTTCTGAGAATGTCAGCGATGTGAACTTAGAATCAGGAGCAGGGAAGGCTGGCCTCAGACAAATGCATTGTTTAGTCAGTAAGGCTAGCGTTGGCTGGGGAGGAATATTTCCTTCACATCTGGGAATTCAGCCTGAATTGGAAGCTATGCTTTACAATTACTATGGCAGAGATCAGAGCTCTTGTGTGTCTCAGAGGCGAGCCTGGGCTCCGGGGCTGCACGGCCTGAGAGTGACCAGGAAGCCGCCCACTGTCCAGGAGGCGGCAGCTCATACCCCAGGCTCGTAATCCTGAGGAATTGCATTTTCCTGAGAGCAAACATCAAAAAGATGAAGGTGAGAACCAGACACACAGTAACTACGAAACAATTCCCCCAAGACAGTGAGGTGGCTGCTTGGACGCCTTCCTTCCTCATTTTGCAAAAGGCCATGGAGATAATTAAATCACACCGTTTCAATAAATCTCTGCTCCCTCTGCGTCTCCCTGACACCCAGCACGGCAGGGCAGGGGGCTGTGTGCTGCTGCCTCCGGCGTCTTAGTGAGTGTCGGTCGCGGCTCTCAGCCCACTCACACCAGCGCTGGGAAAAAGGCTGCTGAATAGAGAGGCAGGAAATAAAGTTCAGGCGGGACGTGAGAGCCACCAGCGCAGCCTCTCGATGGCACAGAAATTAATGTGACAAGTGAGGGCAACCTAAGTGCCACTCCTTGTGCCTGACTCGGAGTGACCTGGTACTTCACTGCTCCCGTGTGTGTGTGTGTGTGTGTGTGTGTGTGCGTGTGTGCGTGTGAGTGCCCATTTTCCACATGTGCTTTTCTCCTAGGTTCTTCCGTCTGTGTGGCTATCAGTTTCCATATTTATTTGTCGTGGGCTGCAGAGCGACGTAAATGCTGCTTTCGGCAAAACTCCACTGAAGACGAGGTGAAATGTTGTGTCGTGTGGGTTTTAAACCCTTGAAGGCAGACGGGCTCACAGGTCACACCAGCTCTGAGGACACAAGGCGGTGGAGGCCAGGGGACGTGCGTGTGCGGAGCAGACATGGAGGCCCTGCTCTGCCCCGTCTGCTCGTGCTTGTATGAACGGGGCAGGTGCCCCTGTCCTGGGTGGGACGTGGATGCTGTCACACTGTCTGCCAGGAGGGGAGGGAGGAGGCAGTGCTAAAGAAGGACAGTGGAAACCTGCACTTGGGACCAGCTGAGGTGAGGCCCGCCCTCTATCCAGAGAGGCCAGCCCCAGGCGGCTCACCCCCCGTGGTGAGTGACAGAACCCGCCCAGGAGGAGGGGGTCTGGGCCAAGGGGAGGGCTGGGGGCTTCCACACAGGAAATTGCCTACATCCAACCCAGTAGAACAGAGGTTAGGGACAAAGTGTGTTTCAGGTCCACAGCTAAACGGGGACACCAGCTGCCTCGCCCTGAGTGGGAAGGAGTTAGGGAAACCAGCCGTACTTGGCGGATAAGGGGATGCCATCCTCCCTCCTGCCCCCACTCTGCTCTCCCATGTGACGTGGTGGTGCTGGGCTCCGAGCAGCACCCTTGATGGGCGATTGCTGAGGGGCAGGAGACACTGCAGGCATTTTGTGCATGGTCACGGGGGCTGAGAAGACCCCCCAGGGCTCCCCCACCACAGCTACCCCAGAACCCCAGCACGACGTCCTCTGCGTGGGCAGCCCACAGGCTCCCTCCAGGGACACAGCGTACCCGCATGTCCCCTGCTGGTCTTCACTCTCAGAAAGCACAAGGTGCCCACAGTCTGAAGGGCTGGTTTGGCCAATACCGTGATCTCAAGGTTGAGGCCAGGAGAGATCCTGGGCTTTGGAGCCAGGCAGGCCTGCTGCGATCCCAACTCCACCGCTCCGCAGCTGTATCACGGGCCAGTCGGTTACCTCCCCGAGCATCAGGGTGGCCATCAGTGAGAGCGGGTAGAACAATACTTACCTTTCAAGGTTGTTAAAAGGTTGGGCAATCTATTAGTGGAATTAATTACATTAGCATTTCAAATAGAAAATTTATGTGCATATGATTATCGCAGATGCATGGGGTAAAATTCACCACCAATTCTTCAAAAAGACCTGGCAAAGCAGGAATAGAAGGAAGGTGTTTGACCTGATGCAGACTGTCTGCCAGAACCTACGAGAAATGACCTGCCTGCCTAACAGGAGAGGCACTTCCCCCAGCGTCACCTGCACGCCAGGGAGTTCTGCTTTTCATGCTTCTGGCTCCTACTGACCTGGATGTGCTAACCACCGTGGTGAAAATAAAAATACATAAATAAATAACTACATAAATAAAAAAATACAAAATAAAAATACATAAATAAATACAGTGACATTTACCAACCGTGTAATTAGATGTCCGGGAAAGGTGGGAGGAGGAACAGAAAGCTTTTTGCCAACTGAGTAAAGCAGCCAGTTACAGGGACTATAAACAGCAACTTGTCTCTGTGCCGGAATGAGCAATCGGAACATTTTATAACTAAAGTTCCCAATTCCATCAAAATGAAAGTCAAGAAATAATCCCCCAAATATCTGTGAAAGGCACATGAAATTCGTAACACTTTTTGGAGACCATCAAAGGAGTATGAGTCACTGGAGGGGTGCAGTGAGACCCTGAGGTGGCACAGCTGGCCTGTGAACACGTCAGCCCCTCTCAAATCAGCCTACAGATGAACGCGACACCTACCAGGAGAGCAGAATACTATTTAGGGAACTGGACAAGCTGACGGGGGAATTCACGTGGCGGGTACAAACATAAAATCCACGGGAAGCATCAGGGGAGAACTGATCCTTCTTAAGATAAATGTATGGTAAGACTTTCATTGCAATAGAACAGGGAAAATATAGATTATGCCCTGTATGTTTTAAAAGAAACTATCAGTTTCAGAAAAATTAAGTTTAATACCTTCCTACTTTACACGATGCAAAGATAACTGCCATGTAGGTCGGCATAATATAAAAAGACGGTAAGACTGTCCAAAGAAAACATAGGATAATATTTTTATAATACAGAGACTTAAAAGAGATAATGAGCAGATGATACAGCTAGAAGTTGAAATCTTCTGTCTAAATTCCCCATAAACAAAATTAAAACAAGCAACCTCTAGAAGAGGAGGTTTACAACACATACAATTGACAAGAACTTAATGTTCATAATGTATAAAGTGCTCCTAAAATCTCTTTTGAAAGTAACTCATAGACCCACATAAATGTACTCAAATTATCTCTGACAAAGGAAAAAAGATAATACATTGAAGGAAAAAGTAGTAATTTCTACAAGTAGATCTAAAACAACTGGACATCCATATGCAAAAAAAAAATAAATCTAGACACAGATTCAATCCAAATGGATCATAGCCCAAAATGTAAAATGAAAACTATAAAACTGCAAAGAAATAACATGAAAAATTCAGATGAACTTGGGTATGGAGGTGACTTTTTAGATAAAGCACCAAAGACATGATCCATGAAAGAAATAATTAATAAGCTATTAATTATTAATAATTAATAAGCTTTCAGTAGAATTAAAAACAAGCTACAGACTGGAAGAAAATATTTACAAAAGGCATATCTGATAAAAGACTTTGATCCAAAACATACAAAGAACTCTTTAGAAACAACAGTAAGAGAACAACCTGTTTAAAAATGGGCAACAGATACCTCACTAAAGAAGGTGTACAGGTGACAATAATCATACGACAAGATGCTCATCGTCTAATGTCATCAACAAATTGCAATTTAAAATAACCATGAGATACCACTGCACTCCTATTAGAATGGCCAAAATCCAAAACACTGGTGACGCCAAATGCTGGTGAGGATGCGGAGCAATAGGAATTCTCATTCGTTGTTGGTGGGAAAGTGAAATGGTGCAGCCACTTTGGAAGACAGTTTGGTGGTTTCTTACAAAAGTACACTCTTATCATGAGATCCAGCAATGATCCTTGGTATTTGAACAAAGGAGCTGAAAACTCATGTGCACAAAACGCCCTGTATACCAATGATTATAGCCAGTTTATTCATAACTGCAAAAACTTAGAAGCCAACAAGATGTCCTTTAGTGAATGTATATATTTGAAGTTATATGTGAATATATATAATAT